TTTTTTTTTTTTTTTTTTTTTTTTTTTTATCGAGAAAGCTTCGCTCGCGCGTATTCGTCGTCGTTTCGAGAGGAGGAAAGAACGCGCGATGGAACCATCGCTTTTCCACTGTAAACATCTGTATATTTTTTTTTCCTTTTTTCCTTTTTGTTTGTTTTTCGCGTATTTTGACCGAATCGGAAGGCGCGCCGTTGGAAAAGCATCGGATACGAGCCATTACCTCGCGTCCCCTTTATCCGTTTTTCGTTCCACTTCAACCGACCTCTCTCGCGTGAATATTTTCCGATAATTATAATTGACTTTTTTTACGCGGTCGATGCGCTACTACCACCCCACCATCCACCCCGACCGAGAGTAATTATGAAAGCAATTAAAATCGTTGGCGAATTACTCGTCGTCCCTTCCTTAACGGAGGAAAGAGCAGGGAGCAGAGATACGAACGCGCGGCCGTGGTATATATACCCTCGAGGTAAACATATTTTCCGTTCCCATTCTATCCGCGATCGAATCGAGCGCGTTCGTCTTTCCAAGTCGTCGCCCGTGTATCGTCCGATTCCATCCTCTCCGTATTCCTTCCTCCCCGAACGCGCGGCCGCCGAGGGAGGAGGAGAGGAAGCGACCGGTCAACGCCATCGAATCCCGAATAGAACTCGCGTCCTATCTTCTCGCCTTCGTTCCATATTAAATATATAAGAAAGAGAAGATATTTCAATATTGGCGAGTAAACACGCGCAAATAGTTTCCACGTTTCTTCGCGTCGCTTTCGAAGGAGCGAGGACGACGCCGTGTTTACAACGCACAACTCCGTGTTCGCGTACGTTCTCAACCGAATATTTCGCGACAGGAAGAGGGGAGAAATATTCCTTCGTAGGTCGATTTTCTTCCGGGAAAAGTCGGGTGGAAAAGAAAATTTTTGAGCCGAACAACGTTAAATCGAATCGATTTCCAGGCTGTAATAATTCCTGCAACGAGAAGAGAACGAAATTGTAGGATTTTAAACGTTCGAGGGGAATAATATGGGGCAAAGAGGAATGGATAGATTTTCATCTTTATTCGATTTCGCCTTCCTTTACACGGTGAAAAATCTGTTTCGCGCGCATCCGCGTTATCGAGAGCTTGCTCCTCGAACATTATCGAGTTTTACTTACGGGTTAACGCGCCGATACCCTTCCACCTCTCGTTCGTCTCGACGTGTCTCGATGGCGCGATATTTGTTCGAAACCGATAACGAACGATTAATTCCGTCTCTTTTCTCTCTCTCTCTCTCTCTCTCTCCCTTCCCTTCTTTCTTCGCGTCTCGAAGCAATTCGAAAATTTAGCCGTCGAGTGTTAAGTTTTTCGCAGTCGCGCTAACAAGTCGTGCACGTGACTGGATGGGATAACGATATGACCACGCGTTCCTTCCTGGTCAACTTGCTCGTAGAAATTGTAGATGAGGCTCGATTACGTATTCCGATCGTACGCGATATCAAACTGCCTGGCTTCTCCTCGCTCGTGATGGAGTGTTTTCTGCCCTCGACCCCTTCCTCCGTCTTCTCTTCCTTTCTCTCTCTCTCTCTTCGCGCAGTTTATATCCCTCCGTGTATCGCGGTCTCTCTCTCTCTCTCTCTGTCTCTCCCTCCTCGACCATCGAAGTCGCAAGTTTGCGACGAGGAAACCTTAGGAATCCACGCACGAGCGACACGTCCACCTCGTAGGGAAATATTTAAACTAGGTATCTGGCGTGCACGTTTTGGTTTGGCGAAAGGGAAGAAAGATCTGTGTCCGCGGCGAAAAGGGGCGAAAGATTACGCGGGGATCTCGGTCGAGAAGCTCTGTTTTGATTTCCCTTCTGTTGTTCCGCGCGCGTTCTAGAAACAGCCATTAATTATCATCGTTAATTATCATGGTCGCGTTCGATAAAACATGGACGTCGAAAGGATGGAAAACAAGCTCGGTGATCCGTCGTGTTTACTTTGCGGCGGGGTTGGCGTGGCGAAAGAAGGGCGGAGAGGCGAGGAGGGGGCGGAAGAAATTCTCGTGGGGAGAAAGGAAGGAAGGAAGGAAGGAAGGAAGGAAGGGAGAAACGAAGCGGAGAGATTGGAAACGGGGGTTGAATTATACCGAAGGAGTGACGTCTACGGAGATAATCACACGCCTCGTAACAGCCAGTTCATCATCGTGGTATCGTGCTTAAGGGCTTGATGCATCGTGGAAATCGCGCACGAACCGCGCCGAACGGAAACTCGAATATAGATCTTGCTTGGAATCTTTCCTCCAACTTCTTTTTTTCGTTCCCTCCCTTATCGATTCGAACGAAAAGAGACGATCGAAAAAGCAACGATTATATAATAATGTGTAACACGATATGATTTTTTTCAGGGGCGTTGCAAATCACCGGATCCGACGTGAACGATCAAGGAAAGTACGAGTGCGTGGCGAACAATTCGGTGGGCACCGAGTATTCGAAATCCGCCATGCTGTACGTGAAAGGTAGGTGGCACATCCGCCCTTCCCTCCGTCTTCGACGGTCGTCGTTTACCGCCGTCGTTTACCGCGTGGTAAAAAACGCGTGTAACGCGAGATGTTCGCGGCGTTAAACCCCCTCCCCTCCTCCAGTTTTCCCGTTTCCCATGAAAATTAATGCCACGTAGTTAAAGCGTAATTAAACTAAGCTGACGGCACAAAGGATTCGCGCGCTTGAAATCGCGTCGCAAATATTATGATGCGGCGACGCGGCATTTCTTGCGGTGGTAGAAACCCTGTGTGCGTCCCTCGAGATTCAAGTATCGCGTAATCAAATGCACGGCTCCCGACAGTTTCGAGTCGCATGCGCGTTGTTAATTGGCACGGGATAGTAGCCGCGTCCCCGACCAATCCGACCAACCTCTCCTCTCAAAACTTCTTCTCCTCGTTTT